GTGTCCAAGAGACCAAGTGGAACGGCAACAAGGCTTGTAGCATTGGAGCAGGGTTCAAACTGTTTTACCATGGTGTGGATAGAAAGAGGAATGGAGTAGGGGTGGTCCTGAAGGAGGAGTTAGTAAAGAATGTAGAGGTGAAGACAATGTCAGATAGGATGATGTGAATGAAGTTAGAAGTAGAAGGTCTGATGCTAAACATTGTCAGTGGTTATGCTCCACAGGTTGGATGTGATGTGGAGGAGAAAGATAAATATTGGAAGGATCTGGATGAAGTGATAGAGAATATTCCCAGGGAGGAGAGAGTGGTGATCAGAGCAGACCTGAATGGACATGATGGTGAAGGAAACAGAGGGGATGAGGAAGTGATGGGTAGGTTTAGTGTAAAGGAAAAAAAAACCTCCCTCTCAAAAAATAAATACAAAGATCTAAATTTAAAAAGTGCATTAATATTATATTATGTGTGTAGACATTGTTTTGTCTTGGCATCGACAAAAAGACAGGAGAAAGAACTGGAAGGGGCAGAAATGAAGATGTTGAGCTTCTCCTTAGGAGTGACAAGGATGGATAAGATTAGGAATGAGATCATCAGAGGTGCAGCACAGGTTGAACAACTGGGAGATAAAGTTAGAGAGACCAGACTGAGATGCCTCCATTCCTCAGGCATTTTCTCACTCTCAGAAGTGCCATTAAAAATGAGCACTGCTATTGTATATACGTATGTGTGCAATATTTTACAAAAAATGGAAAGATTATCATTAAGATAAGATAAGACAAGATGAGATGAGATATGGTCATGATTGCAACTTTATACATATTGTCAATATAATTGTAAATTTGTATATTCTTATTCAGATGACAACATACATTTTCAAAGTGGATTTCACTGCACATGCTGTATTTGCTATTATGCTATTATTCATATGGGGCGTTAGGGTTGTACAAATTGGCACACACTCAGAACAACACCCCACCCCCTCCATCACACACACATGTTCTCACAGTTAATATTAATACACGTCAAGTGTGAAGTCATGAACTTTAGTATCGCCATAGTTTCACTTGGCAAACTAGGAGCTAAAACGTGTTTTTCTTACTCCATATAAACCATTATCTTTCACCCAATAACCCAATTCAGTACCGCAGAGCGCACGCAGCAATTAACTCAAAGCAACAGGGTTTCCACTAATGTATCACATTTCTCTGCTCACTGTGTCAGTGTAACAAACGGCACCCCTGAGGGCTGCTTCTGCAAAATGATGGCATGCGAGCTGGAGCTGACGGGGGCATGTATGGGACTAACCCCCCCCACCAGCGCTCCCTCCACAAGGAGACCAGACATCTTCACACCACACTGACTGCCCCACTGTGTAATGCAGTGATATGAGAGGAAATCTAATCAGAAGCTGCATGACTTGTGCATAACTCAGTGCGGAGCTAATCGATGCCTATTCTGCATGGATTATTGATATCTCTTATGAAATCTAAGTCCCATTTCCTTTTTTTTTTTTTTTTTAAGCTGCTGATTCTTCACCAAGCAAGGCCAACGTGTCCCTGTTTAATGCAGTGAGAACAGGAGTGAGGACGTGGGAAGATGTGCGTTGCACATCTAATTTCTTCCCCCACTTGTATGGTTTGCGAAAGATGTCTCACTCACTTAGTGTGTGTGAAAAGCCCGTGCGGTTTGAACATGTGTGTACTGTGGGTGTGTGCACGCTTTCAGGTAGAAAGGCGCTTGAAAGATTGCGGTTGGTCTCTATAGATTCAGTCACAGAAAAGTACCTGCAGTGCTTCCCAGAACACTTATCTTTGCCTTGCTTAATAATGATTACTGTATTTTATTGGAGTATAAGGCGCAATATCTATGAACAGGTCTATTTTCATACATAAGACCAAAAACATGCACGTTCGGCTGCCTTCAGGCCCAGGCCTCCCTTGCAAAAAAGATCTGTGATCTCAGTGGGATGTGCCTGTGTAAATAAAGGTTAATAAATGAATAATAATAAATAAATACGACACGCCGGATTATAAGGCGCATTAAGCAAAACAAAACAGTCAGATAAGTCAAACTTTATTCCATTCATTCACAATACTCCTGACTACGGTAGCCGTAATGTTCCGACAACCCAAGTGGTGCAGCTTCGTAGCTTACCAGAGTCATATTAAAAAGTTCTGACAGATTTTTGAGTGCCGTGTACCACATAAATTCAGTTCGAGGTCAGTAAATAATACTCGAGATGCACTGGATTTTAAGGCGCACTGTGGGTTTTTGAGACAATTAAAGGATTTTAAGTGCACCTTATAGTCTGAAAAATACGGTAAAGTGTAAATATCTTGTTTTCCAAGAGGATGGGGCTGCAATTTACTTTCTGCAGAGTATCATCTGAATTAAACCAAATTTTCTCAAACCATACAGACAGTGATTTTAAATTAAAACATTTCATTTAACTTGTCCACAAGTTTGCTGTATATGCAAAACAGCGATCTGAAGCACTTTACTGTGTCTTTAAATGTGGGATATATTTATATATTTTAAGTTTCATTTTGGGGCAGCTGAGCAATTTTTCCTTGCGCTCACATCCCATCAAGTGCAAAATACAAGGAACCAGATAACTAGAACTGCAATAATCACACATCCCAAGGCAAGCTGGGCTCCCCGTCCTGCTTTGTCACATGCAAATTTAATATGGTTTTATTGGTGAACACGCCGAGTGTTACTCCTCTGAATGAATCACTCACTCAGGGTTTCTGCGCAGCTTCATTACCAGACATCAGATTTCATCACTGTAAATGCAAACGTGTGAGAAAGCAGATGCTGACAATTCCTTAGGTGGAGCAGAGGCCCAGGGTTATTTGCAGTTTGGAATCCCCAAACTTGTTTCACTCACTGAGGCTGCTGCAAAGTTGGACTGCAAGGTCACAGACATGGGGAAAAAAATGCACGAGATATATAAAATCATGATTAAAACCATATGGTTTATATGGTTCATTTATCTAATGTTTGAACTTGGTTTTCCTAGCTGCACATCTCTGTTCCTTATTGTAACCAATTAAGTAATTATTTTGAACCTGAGCATCCCAGGAACAAACTTTACAACCTTTCATTCACTCTGGATTACATTAACTTGGCCTGCAACAAAGAAGATCGCTCAGATTTGGACTGGATTTTATATATTAACCTCAACAATAAACTACTTTTTCCCCACCTGGAATATTATCACTAAAATTAGAAACATACTTTCTCAACAAAAAAAAAACCTGGTCCATACATTTATCACTTCTATGATGGACTATTGTATCTTTTTTTTTTAATAATTATTATTATCAGGACATGTAAAATAAACTCTAAAATCCATAGTTGATCCAAACTGCTGCTGTTAGAATTCTGATGAGAGTTAGGAGATATATTATGTCTCCGATTCAAAATACAATTTAAAATCTTCCTTTAACATATAAAGCACTTAACAAGGTTCTATCTTATATTAAGAGATCTTATTATTCCATATTTTCCTACGTTGCTCTCAGCTACTCTCACGTCAAAGTTTTAGCTCAATACCTGTAAAGTGGCTAAGTTATTGTCATTTTTAGTAATATTTTTTAATCCCGAGTAGAGTCAAGGTCAAGGTTCTTCATTGTTATTCGCATCGCATGTGGTACATGTGGTGGAACGAAATTGTGTACTCAAGGTCCCGGTTACATCCAACAAAAGTATAAACTGTAAAAGAAAACAACATCTAAGATATGAACTGAGAATATGCTAAACACTAATAGTGCAAAAACAATAATACGCTGAACAACAGCAGCACGAGCATGAGTCTGTGTGAGCAGATGAGTACGAATGAATACAGCAGTGTACTGAAACCAAGAGGACTCAAGGTTATGGGAGGCAAGGATTCAAGGAGATAACACAAAGCTTAGTTCAATTCATAAAAAAAAAATAGATATTTTCACTAAAGCTGTATTACCAACCAAAATGTATTGGGCAACCAAGGCTCCAGCAGCAGGATGGAGCTCATCAGCTGGATGAGGAACAGCTGGGACCAATTGATTCCTGCCACTCAGGAGCTGCAAGGAAGTGGTTAATGGAGCAAAACACTGGAATTCTCAATTATATCCATTTTTCTGTAGGCTAATACAGATTAGCTGTAGCAGCCATCTTGAAATGTAAATCTTCAGAAAAGGTAACCAGCTGTATATGAACATTCAGTGACATTTTGAACAATTTTATTTACAAAACTATTTTGTTAACAGACTGACAGGCTGCATGGGGGCCTTTCTGGGTGGAGTTTACATGTTCTCTCCGTGCATGGTTTTCTCTACTCCAGTTTCCTCCCACAGACCAAAAACATGCATGTTAGGCTGATTGGTAACTCTAAATTGTCTCTAGGTGTGAGTGAGAGCGTGAATGTTTGTCTCTGTGTGTCCCTGAGACCTGTCCAGGGTGTCCCTCGCCTCACCCAATGGACATGGACACCAGTGACCCTTGCAACCCTGAAAAGGATGAAGTGGGTAAAGATGGTGGATGGATGGATGGATGGATGGATGGGTAAAGATGATGGATGGTTCTGGTCTTCATGACTTTACAGACGCCGTTTAAAGCTGAACAGACAGCCAGTAGTGCTTTGGACACCTCACTAATAACTTTTTATTTATTTATTTATTTTAAATAGCATATTTTTTTGTATTTTTCTGCAATACTTAAAATTATTTAGCTTAGACAATGTTTTGGCTTTTACATGACCTATTATTAATTTATCTCATGACTGCAACCGCCTTGGAAAAAAAAATGAAACAAAATAGACTTTTTTTAAATGTTTGATTTAAAGAAGCGACCTGGACAAAACAGCGTGCTGGTTGTTGAAGCCAGTCGAGTAACCAGCAGGAGTCAGAAGACCCCTGTTTTTTAGGAAAAGTCTCTGAAACCAAAAAAAAAAAAAAAAAAGCGCAGATAGTCAAAGCGGAAGTCAGGAGCGACGGGAAACTTTTCCTCCCCCCTGAAAGTCTGATCTGGCATCACACCGGAGCTCCGTGATGAGAAGCCGGATCTTTTGCTCCACATATACACAGTTGATCTGAAAGTGAAGATGGGACTCCCACCTCTGGAGTTCAGCGACTCTTTTGTGGACAGCCCGGACTTCAGGGAGCGCCTGAAATGCCACGAAGTGGAGCTGGAGCGAACAAACAAATTCATCAAGGAGCTCATCAAGGATGGAAACCTGCTGATCACTGCGCTCAAGAGTAAGTCTGATCCAAACCAAGTGCCTGAGCCACAGGCAATCAGGGATGCATTCATTACAGCTCACCTCAGCCTGATCACTGGTCCCTCTCTGAGCTCAGCTACTGAGGACTGGGCTCCTACTGGGGAACATTGATATTTCTATTAATCAGCTTCAATCTGCACAAAAACCTGCAAACTAATTCCTCCTGCTGAAGCTTTCTGCCTCCCATACTCCCCTGAAGGCCTGCAGAGGCTAAAGAGAAGTTGTGAGATGAAGTGGCTTTAATGAGCAGAAATAAGATTATTCCCAGGGGTCATCCAGCAGAGAAATACATAAATGCAGACTTTATCCATTAATCACTGCACTCAGCTCCAGATGTATGCAGATGCCATCACATCTGGGGTCATGTCCTCTAATTCCAAGTCCAGGCTTAAATTCCGGAGCACAGATTAAACTGGACTTCCTGTTACGCTCTGCGCCTGCGGGGACTGGAGTTAAATCCCTAAACGTGAGAAGTGTCTGTGAAATGGAGAAAGATTGGAATTATAAATAATAATAAAAAAAACGGCAGAAGAAGCGCTCGCTAATCCAGCACTCGAATCGAGATGAAATGTTCCTCAAAATTGTTTTAGACAGTCTTTATTTTTAAATTTGATCTGTTTTTATTTCTGTCTTTAAATCCCTGTGATCTCTCATATGATGCTGTGCGTTTGGTCTTTCCTCTGGTGGTGGAGGCAGTGAACCAATAATCCCATTTAATCTGCAGCACCAACTTTTACACTGCACACAATCACATGCTGCACAGAGTTCAGGAGTGTGACATTATAGACACATTCAACTACACAATAAGTTATTTTTTTTTACATATTTTATATTCTGCTCTATTTCTGGTTATTTCTAATTTAAGCAAATTTGTGCCACCAGACCTCTAAAGGCACTGAGAAATGGCAGCATTTGCCTCACAGTGGGATCTTTCTGCTTTAGTTGCATAATGTTTGACGTGTGTATGTAAATATAGTTCAGTGATTACTCCTTTTTAAAGTGTAATTTGAAACTCGCCTACATTTCTCTGTAGTTATTTGTAATGCTGCATTTTCCTTTATTTGGCCGTCAGGCATAAAACTCTTCAAATCTGTTTCAGTAATATTTCCTCTTCAATAAACTCGGGACATGTATTTATTTATTAATCTAACATTTTTTTTCATGAATAATTGGTTTGGGCTTATTGTTTAAATGTATACAGTCCATCAGTTCAGTGTTGCTTGTTGGTTTGTTTGCTGTCGCGGAGCAAAGTGGTGGATTTGGAAATACTGTCAGTCTGTCTGTTACTAAAGTGAGCCTGATAACTAGAAATATAACTGAGGTACCAACTTTTATTTTGGTGTGTGGCTTCATCTAGGAGCAATGAAGGTCACCGTCAGAAATTTGGTTGCCACACCAACATTCAAAATGGCCACCACAATATATGTAAACCAGCCACCTCAATCATGTGATACAACTATGCTTTCTAGTTTTTAATCAGAGTCTGAGAGATTTGTCATTCGCATCTCATGTGGTACATGTGGTGGAATGAGATTATGTACCCAGGGTCCCAGTTACATCCAGCAATAAAATGTAAAATAAATACAGTAATAAGATCTAAGAGATCTGGATAATCAGGCCTGGACATTGTGATTGTCCCCAGATGATAAACAACAGGAGATTGTACCTGGACTGTTTTTGTCCGGTTCAAATTAAGATGACTTGTCTTATTCATAGTGTAAAACCTATGCTATGAAAATTGCACTATATCAGTCAAGGCTTGCTTAAGATGGCAAAGGATCCTGATAACTTATTTAGAATGATGTCTGCTACATTAATTCCTGCGATTAGCAAAATGTCAGACAGCGAGAGAGAAGGCATCTGCATACACGTTCAGTTGCAGATAATTCTACAGGCTTTTTTTAGATTTTATACCAGGGAGATGTTCAAACTTCCACCAGATGTCTTCTAGAAGATTTCAGCTTTGCAGTGCATGTGTCAAAACAGCTACTGTCAAAGTTTTGCCTGAAGCTCTTTGGGGTTGCAACACTATTACAGCAGCCCTCTGTGAACCGCTCACACAGAGCTAAAGGACCATCTATTCTGGTCCATGTCCAAAGAGGTTGCAGTTTATTTTTTTTATGTTGGTCATCTCTCTTTTGGGAATGCCCATTTCTTCCACTGATGCACATCTTCAGGTGACGCATGTCTACACCATAGAGGAAGAGAAGTAATGTCCGAGTCTCAAATTTAGACAAATGTTTTGTAGACTTTGTAGCACTCTTGTGGTGTAAAACAAGACATCAGGAATGTTGTCAAATCAAACTTTTACTCTGAGGAGATCCAAACCCTCAGAAAACTGTCTACCGTTCTCTCCGCCGTATAAGTCGCATCATTCCAAAAAATGTCTAATAAAGTTGAAAAAACATCATAAATATGTTGCTTCGCCATATAAGTCGCATCTATCATGCGTCGCCGCTGACCACCTGGAAATGTGGGCTGGTGTTGTGCCAAAAATCGATTGGCTGCCAAATGGCGGCCGAAGGCGCATGCATGGGAGGACTTTAACAAGATTAACACTTTAAAACAATTATTTGTTTTCTCAGAATTATAGCAAAGGTGTGTCTCAGTTAAACTTTTCCTTAATAAATGCACTTTTAACGGTAAAATCATCTGCATTTCAAAAGCCGATTCGTGGCTGCGGGAGCTCACAGAGGGACGACTCGCTGTGCATTTCTTCAAAATTTAACAAGATAACCAAGTAAAAACAATAATTTGTTTGCTTGACATTATAGTAAAGGTGTGTCTCAGATTTAACTTTTCCTTAATAAATTCACTTTAATGATCAAATCAGCTGAATTTCACCTGGGCGGCGCGGCGAAATGCAGCTGATTTGATGTTTGCTCCAGGAGTTCTGGAGCAAGACGAAGGTGGCTTGGTATTTCAAGCCGTGTCTCATTAATAGCCACTTTTAATGAGACACTTGGCACATATTACTTGAGCGCCCTCTAGCGACTAAAAATGGTATTGTTCAATATTTTCCCTGTTAGAATGAATGAAATCATCAGATCTCAGCCAAAAATTGAGCTATAAATATGGTGAAAAATAAATAAGTCGGTTCGCTGTATAAGTCGCATGGCATGCTAATTTATGTAAATAGGTGCAACTTATACAGCGAAAAGTTCGGTACATCCATACTATAGACCAAAAGTGATAATATTATTAAAATGTAGAGATTGTTTTGGGAATAACAGCTAAAAGTGTTTATGTCTGTACAAATTGTTTAAAAAATTGTTTAAATTATAAAGTTAGATAAGAAATAAAAGACCCAACGAAGTGAAGTCAGGTCCTCTGGACAGTTTCTTTGTGTTGAAACGTTTCATCTTTCATCCAAAAGACTTCATCAGTCCGAGGAGCCACAACAAACTCAGTCCTATAAGCAGCACACTCACATAGTGGGCCAACCAGTTTGATAGTGATAAGATGGTTTTTGGAGTCCTCCCTCTCCCCCGTCGACTCCTCTGAGACAGCCATAGCCAAAATGGTTCAAAATACCAAAGTTCATGCTCATTAATCCAGGTAAAAAAAATCCAACAAAGTTAAGGCAGGTCCTCTGGATGGTTTGATGAAGTCTTTGGATGAAAGATGAAACGTTTCAACACAAAGAAACCATCCACTTTGTTGGATTTTTAACCTAGATTATTTAGCATGAACTTTGAAGAAATAAAAGTAATTTTAAAAAGTACAAAGTTGGCATGTGAAAACTTACAAGCGTTGTAAAGTGGGTGATGGGGCTAATCATTTAATGGGCTTCAGGAATGCTGTTTTCAGTCTAACGGTGCCATAACACCAAGTCTTGTTATATAAAGATGCTGCTTTTATCTTTTTCAATTTCCCTTTCTGATCTTGTCATTTCTGCTCGAACTAACCGGAAAGATGTTTTCGAGGATGAGAGCCAGAGTATTTTTTTCTCTTAGCCACATCTCTTTGAACCACATTACACTTGTTTTCTCACCATAGCTGTTAGCAAAAAAGATCAGCTTGTCTAGTTATCCCACATTGCTCATGATTTTGGCACGGACAGACCGCCTGCATCGCCTCTGTTCCGAGAGTTTTTGTTGTCTTGACCCGTCTCTCCATCTCTCTGCCTTATTGCTTTGTTCCTGCTTTGCATTCTGTGCATGTCCTCTCACTGATTTATGCACAGATGTATATTGATGTTTTTCTCGTTGCCATATCGGACAAGTTTAGCGTAATCAGCTGGTCCCCTGTGTAAGGAGCAAGTGTGTGGTTGCTTGGCAACAGCATTGTTCTGAAACGAAAGCAATAATAACCTGGTTAAAGCAAAGTCAAGGGTTAGAAGGGCCAGAAAGCATCACCAGCAACTTTCATTTTTTTGTCATGTTTATATCTTTTTTTTTTTTTCATTCATCCTTTCATACTTGCGGTTTTCTTCGGATACTCCGGTTTCTTTCTGTAGTGCAAAAACATGCACGTTGGGTTAATTGGTTAGTCTCATTTGTCTCTGTGAGGGACTTGGTACCTGTCCAGGGTGTACTCCGCCTCTCATGGTGGCTGCTGGACATATGGACACCAGTGACCTCTGTGACCTGGAAAGGAACAACAGGTTAAGATATAATGGATGGATTATGCATGGCGTATTAGGACTCCCTTCATCTGTGTATTTTTAGTAGTCTGAACCCAGTCTGCCCTGATCCACAATGCACTGTGTGACTCTACACATGCTGCAGAGATGTTACCTGGACATGAACAAGTCTGTTAAACAGCCAGATTAAAAAAAAAAAAAAAAAAGTTTGGCTTTTTTTGTTTGTTTGTTTATGCAGTATATGAACACATTTGTTTGTTTGTTTGACAAAAAGATTAAATGTACTATTTATCACATTCCCTCTTAATAAAATGCCTGTTTTGTGGAGTTTTTATTTATTTATCGGAGTCCATCCATCCATCCATCCATCCATCCATTTTCTTTACCCGTTT